AATCTTAAGTCAAATAAAAATTTAAAAATCCCCAAGAGGCACATTGTAGTAAAAGTAAAAAAAATTTTTTTAAATTTGGCTGAGAAAAAAAAAAGGCACATTACCTTTTGAGGAGCAATAATACTGACAGTTCATTTTCAAGATACTAGTAAATGATGGAATCCAGGAATCAGGTCAAGGGTACATGTTATAACTTTTAAGAACTGAAAGACTATAGTTGCCAATCTAGAATTTTACACAAAGAAAAATATTATTTAAAAATGAAGTTGGAACTAAGAGGTTAACAAATGAAAACGGAGAATTCATTGCCAAGATAGCTGCACTAAAAGAAATACTAAAGGATGTTCTTTACTGAATGAAAATAATCCCAATAGAAGCAAAGAAATGCAGGAGTGAATGAATGATAAGGGGTAAATGTGTGGGAAAATATGTGAATATTGACTGCATAGAACAGTAATGATATCCTAATATATTATTTTTACATGAAACATTACAATATTTGACAATAATAGCCAAAAGGCAGGAGGAAAATAAGTGGAGTTAAATCGTAAGGTTCTTGCATTATCTGGGGAGTGGTAAATGTACAAATTGTAGTAGACAATTCATGCACACATGCTGCAATTTCTTCTCTTTTTTTTTCTTTAAAAAAATATGGAACGCTTCACGAATTTGCGTGTCATCCTTGCGCAGGGGTCATGCTAATCTTCTCTGTATCGTTCCAATTTTAGTATATGTGCTGCCGAAACGAGCACTGCAATTTCTTGATAACCATCAAAATAATATATAGCTAAGAAGCTAATTGGAGAAATAGAATAATTTTAAAAATCTAATTTATCTCTTACCTTTTGAGACAGCATGGAGGGACCTGGAGAGTATTATGCTAAGCAATATAAGCCAGTCAGAGAAGGACAAGTATCACATGATCTCACTCATATGTGGAATCTAATGAACAAAATAGATCCAGAGACAATGAAGCTTAGAACGGAGTGCGAAATCTCAGAGGGAAGGCGGGGGAGGGTGGGTGATTGGAAGTGATCTTCCAAAGAATCTGTATGCATATAAGCATAACCCATGGACACAGACAA